AGGATTTTTCTCTCAGCGGTGTAGAACATTCCTACTCACATACCTAATCCTACAGCACCTAACACAGCACCCCCAGACTGGCAATACGCAGAGGTCACTTCGGTGTTTATTTAATATATTAAGTCATTTATAGCACATTAAGAAGATGGAGTGATGGAATATATAGACTATTTTGAAGCAGTCTTTGGAGCAGAGCCATGAGTTTCAGAGTATTTTTTTTCATGGTATGGTCAAGGTAGGTAGTAAACTAGAAAACTACTAGGAGAGTGATATTTTTTAAGTTTCTAGAGATTCTTTTTTTTTTTTTTTTTTTTTTTAAGGCACGTGTGCTCACTGAAGAGACAGAGAGAGACAGACAGACAGAAAGTGAGAAGAAATCATTCCCTGGGGGGATGGCCATGCCACAATCCCTTCTCCTCCATTCTCCTTTCAGGATCTTGGGCACGCATGCACATGTGCCCAATGTGAGTTTTAAGCTGCCAGGTTCAGGACTCAAACCATGATCAACTACATGGGAGTCCAGTAACATAACCACTATGCCATCTGCTGGTCCTAAGATTAATGGAGATTCTTTTAAAAAAAATTATTTATTTAGCTTTATTTATTCATTCTTTCATTAATTTTTAATTTGACCAGAGAGAGAGAGAGAGAGAAAGTGAGAAAGCAAGCCACCAGGTCCAGGACTTGAACCGTGGTCAGCCATGTGGGAGCGTCCAGTGCCTTAACCACCATGCCACCCGCTGGTCCCAAGATAATAGAGATTCTTAATGTAGCCAAATTAATTGAAAGAGAAAATGAACCTGAGGACTAATTTTTTTTCTTTAATGAAGGTTTTTTGCCTTGGGGTGTGTGTGTTCTCCAGAGAGAGAAATGAACAGTGAGAGGGAAAGTGAGAAATCACCCCCTGGGGGTGGGGGATGGCCATAGCACAATCCCTTCTTCACCGTTCTCCTCCCAGAATCTTGGCCTACATTCACATGCACCTGGTGTGAGTTTCAAGTCATTGGGTCCAGGACTTGAACCTTGGTCAACCATGTGCAATGTAACCACTGTGCCATCTGCTGGCTCCAACCTGAGGACTAATTCAGCTGGGAGTGTGTGACCAAGCACAAGAGCAAGAGTAAGTATATGTGTGTGTGTGTGTACACACACACAGGTGCACACACATACATGCTCACACAAAAGCTCTATCTTGTATTCTATATATTAGAATTTAAATGTCATTTGCCACCAATTAAATTATGGCACTGTTTTCAGATGACTCTGTTCTCAAAACACCCACAGCTGAAAGATGTGTCCTCAATGTGTCCATTTGTTCAATGACAAAATGCTAAACCTGTGAGCAGCATGCTATGGGGGCGCAGAGAAGGAAGTGATTAATTCTGTTTATTAGAATGGCCAGAGAAGTCACAGCTACTTGCTTAAGCGAGCTTTGGTCTGGCATTTCTCTACTTGTGCCCACAGCTCCCATCCACTCCCTTGCCTGGTCAGCAGTCCACGTACTGGTACCCTGGAATTCCTTATCTCAATACCTCAAGCCTTCTTGCAGGACTGCAGGCTCTGGTCATTAGGTCTATTCTCCCAAGGACAAGTCGTGCCAACAGTATAACCCCATGTGCCTGAATGGTGGCTTAAACGAGCCTGCAAGTGTGGGCTGAGGTACCCACATGTAGGGCAAAGTCAAGGAAAGGAAAAGAAGGGGGTGGGGCAAGGGTTATCTTCCCCCGTTTCCTCTACAGAGATTAAACATTCTGAATTGAAATCCAACTTCTGGATTGTCTTAAAGGCATATACGTCAGGTAGAAGGATATAACATTTTATATAGCTGCTGAGTATTTGGGTGTGTGCCTTGGGGGCCTCTGTTTATACTCTAGTCCTGAGTCCTGCATGTTCAGGTGGGCCAAAGGGAAGGCTTCCCAGAAGTAGATATGTACTGCTGGATTTGAGAACATGGAATTTCTCTCTGTGTTTAAGCCACTGTGAGTGGCCGGTGCCGTGCAGCTGGATCATGGAGGAAAAGGTAGGAGATACTCCCATCGGGAAAGACCTTGAATGTCATGGCACTAGAATTCTGGCCATCAACCACGAGAAATCTACAGAAATCTCTAAGAAAGACTTGATGTGATCAGAGGAGGATTTTAGGATGATGAGCCTGGTGGCCATGAGGAGGCTGAGCAGAAAGGACAGTGATTTGAGTCAAGGAAGACAGTTTGAAGTTCCTTTGGCCATCCATGAGATAGGGATGATAGCCCGAAGGGAGGTCCCGTCAGCCTGCCCTCTGCCAGCTATCTATCTTCCCTTCGTGGCTATTCTGCCCTCAGTGAAGACAAGGCTTTCTTTGAGACATGAAGCCAGCTCCCACTGAGACAGCCCTAAAGACACCAGCCTAAGGAAATGGCCTGAGTTCGGAACACAAGATTCTTCCTAATCCAAGAATAATTTTTCCAAAGCCCACATTTCTTTCACGTGTGTGATAAACTTCAAGAAATATCTAGCTTTTTTATCACCATCATAATAAACTTTGGGTTATTAGGAATTCATAGAAAATAATCAACTTTTGTTTCATTTGTAAAATTGCTATTACTTTGTTTACAGTATTCGGGGCTTCTCCTCTCTCTGATCGTCTGTGAATTCAATTGTGCCCAGGCAAATATACACAATGCGATTTGCCCTGAGCCAGGTTTCTGGCTTGCTTGCTTTCTCTTCCTCTCCTTTCTATTCTTTCTTTTGTTCCTTTCCTTCTTTTTCCTTCCTTCTTTCTTTTTAAAATTTTTCTTTATGAGGCCACAGATATAACACGCTCTCATGTGGCTTGGGATGTATGGCTAGAATTTATATGATGAAATAAATTAAGGGCTATGTCTCTGTGGTCTAGTAGTTAAAGCAGCTGGATCCCACGTGGCCAACTGCACCGTCAAGTCCCAGACGCAGGGACCTGACAAACATTCTGGACACATGGGTGTGCAGGTCCAAAATCTGGAAAGGAAGGAGGGATGTGGGAGAAGGGTTTGCAGTGTGACCACTCCCCATAGGGACGCTTTCTCTTCTCACACTGTCTCTTTGGCAAATGCACATGCCCCCTAGAGAGAAATAAAAAAGCAAACAAATAAAACTGACATGACTGAAACACACATCACAGAGACCTTGGTGTTCCAGGAATAGAACCTGAAGAGTGAAGGCTCGGAAATGGGATGTTAGAGAGTGGGGCAGGAAATGTGTGAGCGTTTTCCGTGTCTAAATGCCACAGGTTAAGTGTGTTGCCCTGACCCTCAGCAGCTGGCTGACATCCTGCCATGTGTGCCAGGGCCCCGTCATGGCTTCTCCTGCAGGATGTTCAAATACTCCCAAATGCACAGGCAGCAATTATAAAACTGGTCACTGTGTATGCCATTCACCAAAAATGAACCCTTTCATTTCTTCCGAAAGTACCAGATATAAATATTAAATCTAAATCTATATGTAGGAAAATTCTAATTATCTTGATGTCGCAATTCTTCCAGCCTCCATAGGTTTTTGCCATAGAGTGGGCACCACCATGCCCTAGAAAATTATAATCATCATCCAGACCAGCAGTTAGCGTAATGGCTATGTCGCTGGATTCCCACGTAGTCAACCATGGTTCGTGTCCCAGACCCGGTAGCTTAAAACTCACACTGGGTGCGTGTGCATACGTGCCCAAAATCCCGAGAGGAGAATGGAGAAGAAGGGATTGCGGCATGGCCATCCCCCCGGGGGGTGATTTCTCGCTTTCTGTCTCTCTCTGTCTGTCTGGCGAGTGCACGTGCCCTATAGCAAAAACCTCTCCTTTATGGAGAAGGGAGACACTTGGGACCAGAGGCTGTGGTGGGAGAAGCAGGTTTTGGCAGTGGGTGAATTATGAATTCAATTATGGGCAGACTGAATTGTGCATTCGATTCAGTTTTAATATTGGAAGCTACATTTAAGGCCTATCTTGCCGAAAAAAGTAACAAATTGAAAAAGCAAACCAGCAAGCAAAAGAAATAAACATAGCAGAAATATGAATGGGCAAATCTCCTCTACTTTTACTGTTTGGTTATCACAGGTTTCTCTTTCTTTTTTTTTTTAGAGGTTTTTGCTGTGGGGTATGTGCGGTCACCAGAAAGACAGAGAGATACAGAGAGACAGAAAGCGAGAAATCAACCTCCCCCAGGGGGAATGATCACGCCACACTCCACTCTCCTCAATTCTCCTCTCAGGATCTTGGGCACAAACACACATGTTCCCAGCGTAAATTTAAGCCACCAGGTCCAGGACTCAAACCGCAGTCGACTACATGAGAGTCCAGAGACATAGCCATTACACCAACTGCTGGTCCCAACACAAGTTTCTCTTTCTAATTCTTATTTTAGCAGATAAAACGAGTCATTAAATAGTCAATTTGCAATGTGTCTGTGTATTAACATAGTGACTCTGGTCCACAAAAGAGTTACAGTTCCAAGTAAGAGTTATTTCAGCCTTATATTTATAAAGGCATTAAAATCAAGAAATGAATATTATGGTAGTGGAAATACAGGATGTATCATTTTGCTTGAACAATTTTATCTTGATTTTTGTGATCAACATAGAAAACTGAAGAAAATGTAAGAAATCTTTCCCTGCTGATTTTATTATGAAATATTCTAAACAATATTCCTCCAATTTAAAGCCTTTGAGTAATGTCAGTGGGCACCTTTCACATAAGTATTATGTACTTAGATTGTCCTTTAACTTGCAGCTCTCATGGGGATTGGAGGAAGTGTAATATTGCTGAGGAAGACATAACACATCAAAACTTGCTTTAGGAATAGCAGCATCTGAGCATTTTGTTAAACTGTACTCTTCAACAAATGAAAAATATTTAAATTTTAAATTCCAAACTTTGGGATAGTTGCTTGAGTTCCAATGAGGGTAATAGAATGCATTGAGTTCAGATGTAATACATGAAATGTTTGTTTTTAAAGTCGATTCTGATTCAGTTCTTTTCTCCTCTCTCTTTGGAGGTGGTTCAGAAGTGTATTCCTTTCCTAATCAAGCATTTGAAGGATTCCACTCATAATGACATCATCCTAAACATCCTCCTAGAGATAGCAGGCTATGAGCCAATGGCTCTGAACGGTTTTCTTCCAATGCTGAAAGAGATTGGTGACAGATCCCCCTACCTCATTGGACAAATGGCAAGGATCTATGGAGCGGTTGGGCATGTGGATGAAGTAAGTGGCTTTTTTTTCCCTCCATTTCCCTGAATTCCATCAGCATTCATTGGGGCTCTGTGACATATAAATTTGTCTGGAGACTTTGGAAATTTCCCATTTCTTTTTCACACCTTTTGCATGGACTGTAGCCTCTGGATCAAGGTAGCAGGGTTATGTGGAAGGTTTGAGAAGCGAGGATTTCATTGCTAGCGTGTCATCAGAGGAAAGAGGAGTGTTAAAATGGAGAGAACCCTGTGATAGATTCAAGGCCACTTTGTAATAACCACCATGAGAAGAGCTTTATCTCCTTTTCTGGTTGCAGTTCTACTGAACCCAGGAGACCGTAAGTAAGTGCAGAATTAGCTCAGAGATCCCTCAGAGTTAGAGCCTACAGCGATCGTGGCAGTATGTGCCTGGACACAGTGTACTTTGAGCTCTCTAGATGTTGTTATTTGGGAGAGAAATAAATGTTCATGATGTTTAAAAGTCCTAGCCTAAATATTTGCATAATGGAATCTTTCATCAGAAACAACAGGATGCCATCAGAGTTTGTGGGGATTAGGAAATGAAGAAAGTTTTCAGAAACTCAGGTTCTGAAGGGTGTGTACATGCATACACACATGTGTGTCTCTCTGATAATCTTCTATTGGGATTTAGGGTTATATTTTGTTTTGCTTTGGTTTGCCAGGGAGAGAGACAGGAAGAAGAAAGAGAGACAGAAAATGATAAATCAGTCCCCAAGGGAGAGGGCCACACCACAATCCCTTCTCCTCCATTCTCCTCCAGGGATTTTGGGCACATACACACGTGTGCCCAGTGTGTTTTACAAGCTGCCAGGCATGGGACTCAAACCACGGAGTCAGCCATGTGGGAATCCAATGCCTTAACCACTGGCTGGCACAGGTATTTGTTTAATAGAAGCAAATATATGATTGATAGTTTTTCCTTTAATCCACTTACTTATCAGCTATTAGATAGCTATAAAATTATTCAACTTATTAAAGAAATTTCATAGTTCATCAAGTTCAACCCCTCGGTTCTGCACAGGATAAAATTTAAAAATGGAAAGGTTTTTGTTTGTTTGTTTGTTTTCTATTTTTTTGAGAGGTTTTTGCTATAGAATACGTGCACTTGGCAGAAAGACAGAGAGAGACAGAGAGAAAGAAAGTAAGAAATCATCCCTCCAGGGGGGATGGCCATGCCACAATCCCTTCTCCTCCATTGTCCTCTTGGGATCTTGGGCACACACTCACATGCACCTGGCATGGGTTTAAGCCACCAGGTCCAGGCCTCGAACAGCGGTTGACTACATAGGAGTCCAGTGATATAGCCATTACACCAACTGCTGGTCCCTAAAAATGGGACCAGACTGGGTTAGTTATTAATCCAGCTAGAATGAAATCATTGACATCCTTGGTTATCACTTCCAAATATTGTCTTCAAATGGATCTTCAGCATTGTTTTATTGTTGCTCAGAATTGTGGAGAGCCCTGTGGGTCCTGGCTTTCTCCTAGCAGAGAGCCTTATTCCTCTAGCGTCTAAGAAGGTGGGAAAACTGAACTCCCCATGCAGTCTGCATATGCCAACGTGAGAATAGGATTTCTCTGGTGCAGACATGCTACTTAGGATAATCCCTTTCTATTGGCTGCTGTTGGGAGTGTCTCACACCTGTCATCGTCTGCTTTCTGGTAACACTTTCCCTGTCTGTTGCCCCTTGCTGCCAAGAACCCACTAGTGTGAGTTATTAGGCCAACTTCAGCTGACAGCTGTTGAACTGAATCCGCTGACCTTGCAGATCTTTGTAAGGACCCACAAATTCAATCCTTGAG